GACAATCCCTATCAATTTTTCCTAACACTTTGGTGTTCACTTCTTTGCAACCATGAAATGTGAAATTTTCTATTTGTGGAGGAGAATGACGAGTGCTAAAGGTAACATGTAACCAATGGCATTGAAGATATAGATTATTCTAATATTCTCAGACTATGACAACCCTAAATTAGTGCAGCTATGCTTCTCCTTTCTTTCCATTTTACAAATTTCAGATTACCAGTATTCTCTTCATACAATGGATATAAAGAATTTTCGTGTTTCATGGTAGAGTTTTCCATAGCTTCATTCCACGTTTGTTGTTCTTTTTGCGAAATATTCAGTTCCACGATGGATAAAAGTGCAGCTACACTTTTCTTTTGCACTTCAATTCACATTATGTGGCATATGCCATTTAGAAAGAGTGCAAAAGATTAACCATTTTTTCTTTATCATGCCTTGTTGATGCCCCTGGAGCTCACATCATCTTGATGCACTAGTATTATAGTTATATTTCATGTTCAATTGTATCTATACTTGTTTTCTAACCTAATTCGATGAGTTGATACGATGATTACTAGTAAAGTATTCTACATTCATGTTATAAATATGACTTATTTAATAAGAGATTATAAATTTCATCATCATTGTATGCAAAAATACTTCGAATCAGTGATAATTTCAAAATTATGAAAAAAATTAGTTTCAGTTCGCTGAATTGAAATATATTGATGGTAAGATAAAAAATTATGTATTTTTCAACCTAGAAATATTGAAGCATTACCATTACATTTATATTTTGTTTCATATTTATATATTTTCTTCAAATCCAATCTTGCATCCACGATATATTTAATTAGAGATAACTAAATATGAAGTTTTTAAAAGTTTGTTTATACATTTTGTATGTAGATCCCATCACCAATAATGAGAGATGGCCATTTATTAGGAAGAACATACAAGACAATAAGCTTTTAGATCCATTCACATTAATTTTGAATATTTCAATTTGAACTGTGATTAATTATAAAAATTGAATCTCAATTCATTTCATCGTGCAGGAAATTAAGAAAAACACGAAAATGAAGAGAAAGACAAGCTAAGCATCGATACAACATGTTTTGACTTATTTCCAAGAGTAAAGGAGCAAATCTTTACTAATTATAACTCTTGTATTTCGTTCAAATTATATTAAAGCAAAAGATATAAGGTACTCGACATTCTCTTTACGGGCATGTTTGGATAAAATTTATCAACTCATGTTCAAGATTTTCATTTCAAATCCATCACATTAATATTAATATAAAGTTAACAATATTTTTAAGAAGTTTTTTTACTAAATTATTCTTAAGAAACTCCATATTAGTAAGAAAAGAGTCAATTTTATTAATCACCAAAAATCTATCATTACACTGGTATGAGGCTTTATATATAGCCATTTCCAGAAAATAGAATCCCTAACTACTAACTAACTTGACAGCTGTCAACATGACTTGCTGCAAGTAACTAACTACCATAGAATGTGCAGCTGATTCTGACAATTATAGTAAAAGAACTTTTTAAAGCATTTTTAAATGTGTACTCAAAGATACTTATATATTAGTTTTGCTCACATCATCAAACATTTTTGAGTTTTATCTATACAACATAAACATCCATATGAAAATGTATTTTTAGATTAAAATTATATATGTAAATATAAGTCATTTTTCTTGCAGGGATTTTTGTATACACTTTTACATGCAATTATCCATCGATCACTAGTGATACCGGTAGACAAAGGAAGAAAAAAAACAGAAAGAAAAAGAAAACGATATAAATGCTAATAATTTGATTTAAGAGTAGTTTTTTTTTTTTTTTTTTTTTGGTTATGTGCAACAAGTGAAAAGAAAAGAAAATTTGCTCAGTTACCTACATTTTCACAAGAAAGGTCACTCAAATTGACCTATTAATGCAAAATTGAACTCTTGAATTTTACTTCTCCACTGGATTCTTGAACTATAGTCTAATCGATTGGCTCACAGAAACAACAGTTTGAAGCATCAATAACTGAATTGAAGGATTATGCTTTACTTCTCTATTGGATTCTTTAACTATAGTCATACTCATTGATTTAAATTTAATTTTTCCCTAGATCAATGAGTGTTACTGTACCTAGCTAAGACTGGATACCAGACACAAATTTGTTGAAAATTAGAAAGACAATGGAAATTGAGAAATTAAATTGCAAGGCAAAACTTTGAGAAGTAAGGTGTAGACATCGTTTAGCAACTTTATATAAGAACTATATTTATAGAGCATAAACATGGAAACAAATATACATAATAAGAGCAAACTAATTAGCCTTCCAGTGATGTGGTTCTGAACCTTCTCTTTCTATGTCTTGGTCATTATTTTTTCCCCCATTCAGAAGGAGGGAAAAATGCTACCTCCAACTTCAGTGAATAGTGTTGTGGAGAGCATTTGGTCCACTTCAGCTTCTACATTATTAGTTCTCTTTGCAAATCGACCCTTTATGCGGGGTCTAGTCTCTGCATAGGCCTTCCTTGAGGCATACCTTATTTTCTTTTCAAACTTTCTTGTCTTCTTTTTCTCTCTGTATCTTAAGACTCTGGCCTCTCTATCCATTGGTATAAGATGTGAAGGCAAGGGAAGGGGAGGAAATAGGTCACATGTCCCTATTGAAGACTTTGAGTGAGACATTGAGATTTCGCTTACTGTTGATTCTGGTACAACGCCAACATCCATTGATGAAACCGAAACCTATATTTAAATGAAATACAAAATAAGTTAATTATCATAGAGTAGAGTGTGTAGAAGTTTGAGAAATTAATCAACAAGTTGACAAATAGAATAGAAGGCACCATAAAGGGAAAGCTCTTCTACACAACAAAAATTAAATAAAAATATGTATCTCAAGCCAGAAAAGTGAATGGGAAATTAAAGGGGTAGGCAAATAATAATGGAGTCACATGCATGACATGGGAATGGAACTAGAATAGTTGAGTTTGCCAGCATTTCCAGAAAAAAGAAACTATTATGAACCCCACTTTGGTTCCAAAAGAATGTCGAAAGCAGAGAAACTACCCTTTGAAGGAAAAGTCAAAGCAAAATCAAATAGAATATGAACTCTAGCCCACCAATCACATGCACCTTTTTATTTATTTATGAGAACTAGGGTTTTTTAATAAAAAGTCAAGATTAATATCTCTTAAATATGCACACACCTCTAACCTAACAGATGAATGATCCAAAGAGTTTGGAAAAAGAGAAAGGCCAAAAAAACCCCTTACCATAAAACAACAAACTAAACCAAAAAGAAACTCATAATTCATAAAAGTAAAAGGAAGACCCTTACACTTTGACTAAGAGAACCATCGTAACTGAACCCAGCTTTTGAAGAGTCAAAGTCCAAACCAGGTTGAAAACACTGCGATTGTTGTGGCACTTGAACTGGAACCACTGCATAGTTCTGAGGGAGAGTATTGTAATTCTGCTGGTTCTGATAAACGTTGCTAAACGTGTTGTTGTGAGCACACGAGTTACAATCCACAAGGTCAAAATCTAAATACTCATCACCAAACAAAAAACCCTCGTCATCACAGCCATTCTCCTCCTCTATACTTACCTTCACAGGATGAGGCAACAGCCACGAAGCAGCTTCGACCTCATCCTCGTACTCATCAAAAACCTCTTCTTCCTCCTCTTCCACCTCACGAACGCTCGCGAACCCGACGTTGTTGTCGGGTTCATGATCTGGTTCGTGATCAACGAAGAGGAGGGACCCAGAGATGGGGAGAATAGGCACGCGGTGGTGGCGGCTAGCGAGAACGTTTGCGGAGTGGATGTCAGCATCGCATGAAGAACAAAGAGAAGCTGCGTCAGCTTTGCATAGAAACGCTGCGGGAGCACGCTCGCACGCTTCGCACACCCACACACGCTCGTGTCTCGAGGCCACACGGTTGGCTGCGTGGACGCGAGCATCACAGGATGAACACAGGTACGCTGAGTCTGCATGGCAGTAGAGCGTGCATGGGGCTGAGCGGCACGTGTCGCAGACACGTGACCAGCTGCTGGTGCTGCCACCAACGTTGTTGGTGCCTTCCTTCAACATGTTGTGTTTGAAATGAGTAGTGAAGAGTGTGTTTGGTTGGTTTGTGACTTTGTGTATGTGTGTGAGGGGGGAACTAGTTTGGAGGAAGCTGGGAAGGGAAGTGAAGTGGGTTTATGTTGTGTTGTGTTGAGTTGGAAGTGAAGTGAGGTGAGTGAGAGTGTGAGGTGAACCAAGTAGTGTTGGGGGAGAATCAAGGGTGCCAATGTGGCAACAAGTTAGTGGCGTTCACAAGTTCTTGCTTATCTTGTGGTTGCTTGTGTTTTGGGGTTGAATAGGAGAGAGAGAGGGGGTTTTGTTTGGACCCTTCTTTGCCTTTTGGAATCATTAAAGACATGTTGAGGGCTTTGTTCATATTGTCATGGGGCACAACTTGGGAGACACGTATTATTTTGGGTCCATGTAGAATCTATCTATACATGCACCCGTCAAAATCCCTCTACTTACCAATCTCTTCATAATGTATTTGGCTGTTAAATGATTAGATCACAGTCTGTATTTTGTAAGAATTTTTATTTAGTTGTATTATTATTAAAATGGGTTAAATGTTATGTGATATATATATATATATATATATATATATATATATCACATTTTATTATATATATATATATAAGTTTATTATACAAGTTTGTTAAGTTTTATGTGAAGTTTAATTGATTTAATATTTATGATGAGTAAATATTAAGTTGTCTTTTTAAGAACAATATTGTGATTATATATTTACTATAAGATGTCTATAAAAATAAGTAATTTATAATCGATAAATATTACTGAGCTAATATTATTAAGCTGTTCTAAATATATTCTTATATCAATTCGTTCAATATCACTGTTAACCATTGATTTGTTATAGCTTATATAATTATGCAGACTGTAGACTGTAGTGGAGTGCATGTTAGTATGACATCACCCTCTTTTCTTTTACTTCTTTGTGTTGACATGCAAGTAGGGGTGGGTATACGGACTGGTCCGGCCCGTTTAAGGTCCGGTCCGTAAAACTCACGTTTTATACGGGCTGGAGAAGTTCGGTTCGTAAAATAAATGGACTTATTTTTTAAGTCCGTATCCGGCCCGCCAAAATTCGCGGATAACGGACCGGTCCGCGGACCTAAATAATGGTTAAAAAAAATAAATTTTTAAAAAATAAAAATACATAAAATTAGAAGAAAAAAAATATTTTTTATTTATAAGCTAAATTTTATCATGCTAAAGTTTATCAATAGTTAAAATGGTTTAAAATACTAAATATTAAAATATTAAAATAAAAATAATTACAAATACTTAAATAATAGTACCAAACTTTCAATAATAAAAGCATCAAAATATCATAAAAGTAATTCAAATGACAAATATCTACCAACTAAACATAATTTTAATGTCATTGTAATTTAAAAAATTAAATACACAACTTAATATTAAAATCATAATATTTAAAAATATTAATTAGTGAAGTCCGCGGACTAGCCTACAAGCCCGCGGATTAAATTCGCCAAGTCCGCGGACTTCACGGGCCGGGCTCAAAAATTAGACATAGTCATACAGATTTGAAAAAAATATAGGTTTGTTATCCGCGAAATCCACGGACTTACGGACCAGTCCGCGGATCCGGGTCCGTCTACCCACCCCTACATGCAAGTGCACACGATTTTGAAGGATGTTAGTATGACAATACCCTCTTTTCTCTTACTTCTTTATGTTGACATGCATGTGCACACGATTTTGATGGACAAATATGCAAGAATTATCCGCATGAAAACCTGGTTAATTTTATTTTTTAAGTGATTAAAAGTAAATATTTGTATATAATTTATCAATATGTAATTAAAACAATGTTTTGTAATTATTGATATATATATATATATATATATATATATATTTTTTTT